CGAGAGGAAGAATCTTATAAACTCTATTACCAGCGACGAAACCCCAAAAAAAATAAAGGAAATCTTATAAACTCTATAACCAGCGAGGAAACCAAAAAAAAAAGTTAAAGGAGCTAGAGGAAGAAGAACCTGCTACAACGCTAGAAAAGAAGGAGGAATGAAGAGCTGTTATAGATATTCAGAGCTTAGATGAAAGATTCTCCCGCCGGTTCCAACATCTTCGACGGCAAAGTTAATCAACGAAAGCTGGATCTGAGCATCTCTACAGAAATATGATTTCAGGTTGAATGGGAGACGAAATATAAAGATGTAACCATGAAAACAAGGGGGGAGCTGATACCCGCACTCTTGTTTCCTTTGTTTGTGATAAGCGGCGAAACTGGGGTTTGTTGAAAGGCTCTGAGAAGCAGAACTAGGGTGTGTAGTGATCTAAATAATGAGTCTTTTTTGTTTTCTTCTGCTCTCAGGGCGGTGTTGCATTCTGCTACAACCTGTGGGTCCGAGTTTGACCCTTTTTTTTTTCAAAAGTTTTTCATTTTTAGTATCAATAGCAGTTCATATTTATATCTGACATGTTCAATTTCATCTGCTTTAAATTTATTGATTCTGAATTTTGTTGGGATTTGTTTTGTCACTATTTTACAAGTAAAAGATTTCCTTGTTTATTTTTATTTTGATGAGAGGAAAATGAGAACTTACCAAGATAGAACAGATTTGTTTGTTATGAAACTTTTAAAAATTAAAATTAAAGTTGGTATTCACTAGGATAGAAAATCACTTAGTAACAAATAACTAATGTATAGCACAATGTTGTCTTTTACTGTATACAAAATTAGGCAAATAATGATTCCGGTTAAAGAAAAGAAATGAAATTAAAGAAGAAAAAATACACGAGCAACTCCATAGTAACAGCTTTATATTCGTGAAGTGTGAGAGAGTGTAGCCAATAAATTATTAAAATTCCTCTATTTTACTAATCAATATGAAAATTATACTATGTCTAAACACAACACATCTTAGTCAGATGTTCATAGATTGCAAAATATATGTATATAGTTTTGTACATGATTGCAATATCATTAAATGTATTATTTATATTTCTTTCGATTCATTTGGCTCTCATGCTTACTTATTCCAATAATTTATCAATTATTTATGAGACTTCCATTCCCATCTTTTTTATGCAATGAGCCTACCCTCTCCCAAGTTTTTTTATTCAATTCATATTCAATATATATTTCTATCGCTTTCAAACACCGATCGTTTGCATTCTATAAAGAAATATCGAATAAATATGGTAACAACTAACATGATAAGATATAATTAAAATACAACACGGTATGAGTATGAGACTATTGAGTATTTTTATTTATTTGTTTATTTTGGTACATACCAACCCACGTGTTAGAGAGAGAATACATTTTTGGTTGTTTTTGCAAACAAAAAAGGAGACTAACAGATTGCAAAAAAAAAAAAAAAAAAAAAAGACTAACAGATAAGAATGCATGCCTTTTTAAATATATAAGGAAAATAAATACGAAATTAGGGAGGGAAATGGAAAATTAAGGAGGGCGGATGACACGGCCACGTCAAACTAGTTGTTATCTTTAGCGCTTTAATTAACAAGTGAGAGGAACGAATATTTTTTAGAATTTAAACATTAATATTAAGTGATTGACTAATACTCCTTTTTTTTTTTGTTTCAAAAATATATGACCACACTCCCTATTAATTGGGCTACTATACAATATTTTAAAAATCTTATATTCAAAACAATATTATTTTTGTCCGCAAACAAAATCATATTTTGTGTAACCATCAATTATTTGTGATTAATGTATGTGATTGGGACCAATAGGAAAATATTCATCCCAAGAAGAATATTAGGCAAAAAACAAGACCCCACAAGATCATACCTACATTCTTAACATATTCATATATTGATATAGTAATATTAACCTTGAACAGAAGAGAGGTAACTGGGGCAGGTCCACATTTGTTGATCAATGTAGTATTTCACCAATCACCACAGTATGTGTTTCACATTGTGATCTTGATGTTTGCCTCTTCCTATTTAATTGTTTTTATTTTTTGTATTTTTTTCTTTAATTCGATTTAAGTAGTTCACCATTCTTTCTACCACTTTATACTTATAATAATTAAATCACATACATAACAATGATTATGGTATCGAAATAGTTGATGGTGTGTTTCCCTTTTGTCATGTTCTACCATTTTTCCGTTTTCTTTTCCGACAATCATGTCCTATTTTACGTGGCGACTTATAGTTATAACTATGGCTTACACCTATTTTTTAAATGTAACTTAAAAAGAAATAGCAGCAAAAATATATAACAGGCTGTACAGTGACATTTGGTTTTTTTTTTACTGCCATTAAATAATAAGTTCTACTGAACAGCTGTAAAAATTAAAAAGTCATACGTTTCCTTTGATTCGAAGGGTCATTCTTTTTTTCTTTTTCCTATTCCTTTTTTTTATGTCAAAAATGGAAATCGAAATTAATTAAACTGAAGAAAATGTTTTAACACAAAGTAAAAAAACATTAAGTTCTGTTTCAAGAGGAATTACATGGTGTTGGCAAAAATAAGAGATAGCAGATAATAGTGATGACGACAGTAGAATTTAAGTAACTAGAGAGGATCAAGCTTATTATAAATTTATAACATCTAACATCAAATAACTAAAGCCACTGAAAAAATGATAATATTCAAAGCATGTCATATGCTAAATTACACGATGATGGCAAAAATAAGAGATATCCGAAGTTCTCACGATAGTGATGACGACAATAGAATTTTGCAATTGTCTAGAGAAAAATCATCTAATATAAATTAAAGCCATTGGCAAAAAAATGATAAACGTGATATTATAGTTAAAAGCTTTTGTTAAACAACGCTTTCGTTCTCTTAAGGCATACTGTATATTCGGATTTGTTATGGATCAAAGTGTCAAAGGCAAGGGCGGAGCTATGTTGAGAAAGCGCCGTCACATTACCTAGTTTAGTCTAATTGTCTATTAAATCAAAATCATTTGATTTTTGACCAAAACCATTAAAAAAAAACTAGTTTCTTAACATTTACACCAAAAAAAAAAAAAAATCAAAATCATTTGGTTTAACTCGAGCTTAGAAGCTAAAGACGTACGTACGTATATGAATTAAATATTTAAATTGCATCCAACTGGAACTTTTATACAATTTTCATATCCGAAAAATTAATTTCTTAAAGTATTCATACTTATTGAAGCTTAAAAATGTTTCTATCTAAATTATCAAAATTAAAAAAGTTGGGTAGATTACATAGAAAAAACACTAGTAATTCCTATTTACTTTAAAATTCTCGTTGGTTGAAGTGCTCCCATCTAATATTATTTGCAAAGATGTCATTGTTATATAGCCAATTATGAAAAAGTTCCTAATGAAAAATAAACTTTTAGAAAGAAAAATTTAGATTTTTTCGAAAAAAGTTTTGTTTGTCAAAAAGTGAAAAAACTGCAAAATCACACTCAAAATTTCTAGTTCAATGTTTTTCATTATTCTTACCTTTTAGTTATATTTTTATTCATTGTTTAGTAGTATTCTTTTAGCCAAAATTTAATGTTTGAATCGTACTATATTTAACGACGATTATACATTTAAAATAATATAAAACTAAAGAATTGGGCTTAAAAATGAAAGGGAAAGAAAACTAAAGGATCAAATGATAATTTCGATATTAGTTATTTCTGCTTGTCTTGTCACGTAGCTCTGTGGCTTTCGTACGAGATAAAGTTTTGGGATGGACAGAGAAGGCTGACAACAGAGTGGGTTTTATGGAAAACAACACTATCATATATCCTACGTATCACATAAGAGCCCACATATACTTAATTTGCCTTTTATTTTTTGTGCAATAATAATTTGCCTTTTATTTTTTAGAAATAGCCGTTGGATAAAATAGGAAGGGAAGAAGAATTTCACTATCGGCTTCGGCTGCATACAGAACCGTTTGTGAAATAAGCATTTATTTTTATTAAGGCTATGATGGACATAACATTTTGTTTCACGGAGAGAGACAAAACAAAAATCCTACCAATAAATATCAATCAATTACTATTATTTTTTATAAAAGTGTTTTTCATAATTAACTTAATAAGTTGTATTTGTATCTACGTCTACTCACAAATCTATTATTTAAAAATCAACCTTTTTCTTCTTTTCAAAAATTAATTTTGATGAATAATATCTGATGTTGACCAATGTTCTATATTAGTGTAACATTAAATCTGGACTTCTACAGAGTATTTATTATAGCTTACCTTCATGATAAGTATACTGTATTTTATTTTTTGACGAAGTGGTTCCACAGACTAAAAACCAATCTTGTATAAACCAACGTTTCTTTATTGGAAAGCTAGCTGGCTGATCTTTGACGGAAAAGAAGTAAATGTGTGTAATCTGTCAATCGGACGGCTGAGACGCACTACTAATACAGAAATACAAAAACTATAAAAGAGAAGAAAAAACAACAATTTTTAAATGGGCTTGTGTGTATAGTAATAATATTCTTTTTGTTTTTTCGACTGTACTTTTACATGTACTTCACAATAAGAGACAAGATTAGCGGGGAAGTATGTAACCCTAATTACACTCTTTATATTTGAACTCTTAAACTTTTGTTAAGTTAATTAATGTTTAACTATATTTGAACCATCTTAAACTTTTGAAATGACAACGTCTTAAACTTTGACATCTATATTGTTGCATATCATATATGCCAAGGCAAAAGGAATATGTTTTCCAATTCCTAAGAATATATGGCCCAAAATTTGGCCCGCTTATGAATATGTTGTACTTGTTCCAGGAATGGAAACTAAATAATTTAGTTTAAAATCTTTTTCTAGAGTACATATATAGGGACCCCACACATATACCATGAAGTTTGTTGACATTTAACGTTTGAAGAATTAAAAGAATAGGAATTACAATACAAATGATTAAGAGAAAGAAAAAAAAAAAACTAAAGAGCGAACTTCATATCTATTTTTGGGACAAATGTCTTCCCAAAAATATATTCAAGATCATTCTCTAACGGAGTTAGATTCAAATCCAAACACAAAACCCTCTTGCTACTACTGCATCGTTTTAAAACTGGCATGGTAGGAATCACCGGAGAGATGAACGATGGCTCGACCGTCATGCTTGACCTATGCCGTCTCATGTGACCACCTAAAGCCTGTCCGGTCCCAAAACTTTGACCGCATATGGAACACTCGTGCGTATGATTTCCTTTGTAATTGTTGCTAAGAGGTTTGACATCCTTCTGCTCAAGGGTGAGCTTTGGCTTCTTATGGCTTGCCCGGTGACCACCAAGGGCTTGAAACGAAGAAAATCTCCGGTTACACGTCTTGCATTCGAATCGGTTGCTTGTATGGCTCTCGGTATGTTGGCTCAAACCGATCTGTTTAACCATGGAGGTTTGTGCTAGAATCATCAGACATTTGGCAATGTCTAGATTCTTGATGGATTCTTCGAAATCAGATCTTTCTCTCTTCATACTTTTTTTTTGTGAATTAAGAAAGCAAAGTAAATTAAGATTTGAGAGGGTTATAAAAAAGAAAAGAAAAGAAAGAAGTAAAGGTTGGAGTTTTTGCTTGTTAGAAAAGAAACCTGAATTGAGAGAATTTGTAATGAAGGTTGAGAACTTAGAAGTAATGTATATTTATACAAGAGCAATTACCTAAAAGTTTTGACTTTCTAGTAGTTTGACCAAAAGAAGTCGTCTAAACTAATATTCTAAGACAACAACCAGAGCACTGATTCTTTGACTTGAGACAAATTGACATTTTCATTATCACCCTTCGACCGCCGGCACAATGCATAATACCACGAGTGTTGAATAATAAGGGTATAAGGGTATAAGGGTAATATTGTCTTTTCCAGAGATGTAGTTCTCACTTCTTAGAAACTTCTACACCTAAAAATGTGAATCTAACCAAAGTAGCATAGTCAACAAATGTGTACACAACACAGAATAAATCTAGCAACTTGGTTTCTCATGGACTTGCTTGACACAGTCATTACTTAATAATATAATATCAACACCTAACAATCGATAACTTAAATTGTATTCTAATCAAATTTTCTTTAATTAAGGATTTCAAACCGAGTCCAGACTAATCAATCATTGGAAAATACAGCCGTAAAGAGCTCTAAATAATTAATTTAATTTTTGTTTTTGGTAGACTGTTTTTCATATTTTATTGTATAGAAAGAAAACACCATTAAATCTTCAAACTTGGGCAAAGCAAAATTACAAAACTAATCTTAAGATCCAAGTTGGAATACAACAATCATTACCATGTTCGAAGAGAAAATTCAATTTGGTCAAACACATGCACTAGAGACCAAACTAAAGCCTTTTTGATACATTGTTCATCTAGATGGTAAGACCATGTCCATCAGTGTTTTTAATGGGTTTCTAATCTAAAATCCTAAAGAATAAAAGCCCAAAAATAAAGAAAAACCCAATAAAATTACTAGGATCGTGTTCCTAATTTTAGGATTTTTGGAAGCATTTAGAAACGCTGACGTGGCTAAAAATTATTGGGTGAAAATTTAGACAAAAGAAAAAAAAGGGAGGCGTGTTTCTCCTTTTTCTTTTCTTTGGTTTCTCCGACGAAAATTAGGCGATTCGAATCGATCCCTTTCGATTACAAATTCCGGCGTATCGATCATGAAATTGGGAGGCAATTTCAACCGCCGGGATGATGATCGACGACGAGGTTGTTCAATAAATTGATTGATGATTGATGTATCATAATCAGAACAACGGTTATATTTCTGAATTGGATTTCCTTTGGATGTGTCTCTGAAATTATAGCGGATGTTGTATGTATGGGAACACAAGCGACCAATGATACTAATGTTTGATTGTCATCATTGGTTAAGTGAACTAATCAAGCAGAACCATGATTTGTTTTACTTTGTTGGTGCTAGTGGTTTGGGGCTATCTCTGTTTCTAATTCATATATATAACTTGGTTCATTATGTCGTTGATCATCCATCTGCTGTTTGGTTTGTTGGTCCCCTTTTTCAAAGAAGGTAAATATCTTGCTTCTGCATAAGGCTTCAGATAATGATTTGTTGTTCTTAATCAATGAGCATATATGATTTATGTTTATGGTCTACGAAATTAGTGTATTTTTAGATGTGTTATGTAATGTTGAACAACATCACTAGATTTGTTTTGTGTGTCGCATGTTTTGTTGTTCTTAATCAATGAGCTTTGGTTTGTTTCTTTCTTTCTTCTGAAATGTGTCAAGTCTTTAATCTTCTCTGTCTCTCTAATGTTATGAAGAAGGAGAGTTCAAACATGGTGGTTATATAATGTTTTAGCATTATGAGTGGTTAACAAGAGTTTGTTAATGTGTTATAAATAAAATGGAATTCAAATCAGAAAAATCAGGTTCAGTTTTTCCTCTTAATATTGCATCAAATCAGAAAAACAGACTTAGTGTTTGTTTTAAGTCTATGTTTTATGTTTAAGTGTATGACTATTTTAATATGTTTTTTTTTTCTTCTTCTTTTTATATCATGTATGTTTAAAATTTTATAATTCCTAATAATAATCATATTTGTTCAAATAAAAATATTAACAAAAAAATTTTAAAAAATTTATTTTATTTTTTAGAAACCCACTTAAGGATTCCACCAATGGACCATAAAATTTTCAAAAACTCTACAAAATCTCTAAACTACAAAACTATCAAAATTTATTAATAAAAAATACATAGAAACCTTACTTAGAAACTAATCACTGTGAGCTGTGAGCTCAATAAACAGTCAGATTATATTGAAATCGTCACCAGTGACATATTCTTGACGACAGCAATTGTATTTTATGGAAGAGCAAGTCAAAGTAAAAAAGTGGTAAATTAGAGATATATGTGCTTATTTTTGACTTTATTATGTTTTCTCGTAGAAGCAATGCCAAGTCTTGTGTTCTTTTTGTTCTCTCTTTACTTTTCTTGTTTTCATTTTTGGTTGACTTAAAATGAGAACATTAGCCAATTTAACCGGAAACGTCATCCCTAAATCTGAGAACTCAGCAATCTGCATACCGGTTTAATGTCAAAACATAACCAGATTATCCATGACAACATAAGCTTGCGTACTACATAACAACCTTTACACAGTCTTCATCTTCTAAACTCATCCAGTTGATGAACATAAGCTTTTTTTTACTCATTTGTTTACTTCCAAGAATGGAGTTCTGTTGTTTGCTTCGTCAAGTCCTTCTTTTATTGATCTTTTCTCCAAATTACTTGTGTGATCTTCGCTGAGTGTATTCTGCGAAAACAAAGTCCTCATTTCCTCAATCGAAGCCAGACTTGGCACATTTATGGATTGTTTCTTTGGTGTTTCGTTCTTGTGCTGATCAACCTGGTCATTGTATCAAAAGCTTTGCTGTTAATATATACACATATAGATCACACTATAGATTTTCCATCTTTATGGTTGTTATGATTGCTTCAGTACCTGATAGTCTTTTATGAGAGACTGTTCTGCTTTGTTTCTAATGTTTGATACCGCTTGTCCATGATTCTCTTGCAATAATGTGACCTGGTTCATGCAAGTCTCTACTATAGCCTCCGTTGTTTCTTTGTTCTCCCGGTCTTGCATCAACGAGTCTGTAAAACCAAGGATTAGGACGTTTTCTTCCTGAAGTGCAAAAGCAGTTCTTGAGTAGGGAATGGAACAAAGATTTAGTGTGGTTACCATTAACAGCTGCGTAAAGTTCATTAGTCCTAGAGACAAATTTAGCATCCATTGAGGAAAATGTGGATGCAAATTCATCTTGCACCTTCTCATTTTCTTTTGCCATGTCCCTATACGTAGAGAGTTTATTCAGTGAAATGATGTGGAAACAGAGGGAAGCATGGATACAGAACGAAAAAACTTACTCCATTGTGACATTAAGTTCTTGTTGATACTTCGTGTTAAGGTTCTTTATGCCTCTTTCAGTGGTCTCCCACAACTTTTTAGAATCATTGGCCCTTCCCAAGCTGCAATAAATACAATGTTTATATGAGAAGACGGAATGTAAACTAATTGAGAGGCTTGGATCGAAAGCAGTGGGGAGATGGAATTTGTACCAATCTTCAAGGTAACTATCCATGACTGTGATAGACTCAGCTGAAGCTATAGTGTTTTCCGTGAAGTGCGTTTTCGCTTTCTTTAGATAGTCACACAATTCCTCCTTTGCGCCAATCGAGACTTGCTGCATACCAGACATTTGTTCATACAATCTCTTCTCTTCCTGTCTATCGTTTTCACGGATATTGCTTGATGCATCAGAGATCTAGAAACATGTAGAGCATCAAACTTTACGTTCGATTCAACTGATGAATAATTAAAGCCTAATGGGGTTATTAATGGTTAAAGACTCACCATTGCAGTTTTCTTTGAAGTTAACTTTGATAATATCAGACTGATATCATTTATGGCTTGCTTCTCCTCTCTTTCAGCCTCTTCCTGTTTTCAGTGAAGAAAGTTTGTGTGAACCTCTCAGAATATATAACTGAAGTCTTTAAGAGTTTGTTCCAGCTCACCTTAAACTTCATTTCAAAAGCATCAAGCTGTCTTGCTTTCTCTGCTTGGCTACCTCTAATGGCTTCCACCACACCGTGAGCTTGGTTGTAGATGTTACTAAACATGGTTGAAGTCGCGTTCGATATTTCTTGTGCAGATCGCATGCTTCTGACCAAGCCCTGGATAAGTTGAAAATAAAGTTGACTTTTCAGAAAACTAATTAAGCTAACAAGAAACCAGCAAATGATTTTTACAGCACCTGCTCTTGTTGTCTTGCAGCAACTGCTAAGAGCTTCTTCTGTTCGTTAAGTGAATTGTGGATGTCCTGAGCGACTGCAGAAGCCTCTGTTGCTGATGTAGTGAGAAACTGAGAAGAGAAAGGCACATCAATTATAACCAAAACAAATGCTGAGATATAGAAACACAGCAAGAGGTGAAGTAGTAGTTCATAGCTCAATTTTGTTCCTACTTTCTCAACAGCCTTTATTTGTGATACTATAGAAGTGTTCATCTTCTCCAGATCAGAGGAGGCGTTCTTTTGTAGCATTTCAGATAACTCCTTCAAGGCTGCTATTCCTGAAGTATAAGTGTCTGCTGTTTTCCCAATCCTTGATTCCAGATCACGTGTTGCCTGCTTGTGTAAACCAAATACTAGAGTGAACAAATGGTCCAAAGCAAAAAGTGAAATGACATGGCTATAGTCTTTTCTTACATCATATTTATGAGCAAGAAATGAATGTGTATGTTCTTCCATAGTTCTTAATTGTTGCTGTTGCTGAGAGACTGATCCAAGAACTGTTCTGTGCAAATCTTTAAGGTTTTGATCAAGTTGTGAACCAAATTTCAGAAGCATGCTCTGGTTTTCGGATTCCAGCTTGTCCTTTTGGTCTGCAGAAATAAGTAAAATAAGCACTTGACAGATCTTGTTTTCAGCCCTAGACATAGGAAAGAAGAAGTACCTAATCTTGTGAACAACGAATTTATATCGTTTGACGCATGCTGCAAATCAGAACTTAACCCCTTTGCGCGGTCGATCAAAGTAGTCTCTGTCCAAGAATAAATCAGCAAAACGAATCAAGCAACAAACCCAAGAAAGGGGGAGCCCTTGTACAATTTGTGAGATAGAATTTTTACCTGAGGCTTTCATTCTTGAGATGATGAATTCTCTTTCTTTTAACTTTGAGGTAACTTGGATATAATTCACTTTGAGATCAAGCAACTCCTTGTTACTATTATCCAGGTTTCTCTGGATCATGAATGTTTGAAAAATCAAGAA